TTTTTCTTTATCCCGCGAGGAGCTTGAGCTCTGCTGCTGCCAATGAATTTTATCATTCATAGATGTTTCTTCTCATCACACTCCTAAGGACTGCAGGATGGCGTCTCGTTTTTTTGTCAGCCAGTTTAGTCTCCGTCTTTTTTCTTCTGTCCTTTTTTCCCTTTCAATGTTTCGAATGGACCCAAGTTTCGACCTGCTTGGACCAAAATAATCAATACAAAAAGGCGCTGAGGTAACAAATAAACAAACTTGGAAAAATAAAGTAAGCCGTAAGAGATTTTCAGCACTCGAATTGATAATATTTATTCCAACAAACTAAAGCTGAGAATCTATTCGAGGAAAAAGACGAATTCATGATTTACTGTAACACTATTTTTTTTTAAGCAAGACTTTCCTTAAAATTGAATGAAGAGCGAGTCGTTGGAGAAACCGAATTTTCTCAACTAAAATAAAGACAATGCATCCCCGAAACATACCACTTAAATCCTCAGGGTACATAAAGAATATTTATTTCTCATTTTACTATTTAACATTATTTTTTTGTCCAATGATTCTAGTATGTAAACTTTTATTGTGATTCATAAATTTTATTAGTTTATCAATCGCTACATAAGAAAACAAAAGTTATAAACAGGAATCACACGAGCACTTTCTGTATGGAACTTCTAACATTTGTATCAAATATTAATTTAAACCGTTTTTGATAACTAAATTATTTTCTAATGAACGACGGTACCTGCAAGCATCTGTTTGCATGTACAGTTAATAATGAAAAATAGCAAAATCAAGCCAAGTACTGTAGTCAAAGGGTGTAGGTATAACAGAGCAAAAGAAAAGCTTTGAACAATTTGCAGTGGTGAAATACAAAGGCAAACGAGCAAATCAACAAATCAAGGCAGGTTGTTACCTGCGATCGATTGAGCAAGCAGGTAGGGTGGATGGAAAAAAAAGTGTGGTCTTTGGGCTCTCTGAAAAGAGGTTGAGCCAACAGGGAAGGGCTTCCAGCCGAGCACCCTTCCGGCCTATATTTGCACTCAATCGAAATACGAGATTCATTTGTGGGACATTGGCCGTTAGCTGCTGCTTCCGCCCTCCACTGCCTGAACAAGTCCGTCCTTTTCTCGAGCATCGATTCTATCTGCGGTTCCCACACGTGTGTGTGCCCCTCGTTTCGTTCGATCGAGGCGGCTCATTAGAACGAAATACTCCATCCAGAGTCGATAAAGGGAGAAAAAAAGCTTTCGAACTTCAGTTGCTGGTCCGGATAGTTCGAGTGGCTCAATGCAGCGTCACAAAAAATCTAAGCTTCTCCAGTTTACTAGTTTGTACGAAAATAGTTCATTGTTTTTATTCATCATCTGGAGGTATAAGTATATTATGTCAAACTTCCTTTAAATAAAAGTGTAATAAAAACTGAATTTCGTACTTTCGAAAAAGATATTAATTGTTTTATGGATATAATAAAAATGTTTGGTACAAGAAGTCATTATGTGTTGTAGTTCTTTTGAAATTTCATTAGCGCATTTCAAAGTTTTCTTTAAAAAATACATCTAGTTTTATAGCAAGTTGTGCAATAAGAAAAGCTTTTCATGAGAGCTTATGGTACGTATTTGATTCTAGTGCTTTATCGTAAATAAAAAAAGCGATTATGTGATGTGAAAACTTAAGAGGTGAAACCATTGTCTGGATCTTAATGTATATCCTAATGATAAAAAATGGTAAGGGAAAATATGGACTAACATGTATTTAGAATTAAACAAAATTGTTCGTTTACTCTCAGTAAAATTGTATGAAAATAAAACCTAAGACACATAAAAGATGCACCAAGTTAGCAAGTGACACCTGGTTGAAATTGAACAAAAAAAGATATTTTTCAGGAAAACAGAGTCGACCTCGTATACCGATCACACTCGCCAAAGGGAGTAAACATCAACCAGTCCAACTTTTCTTTGTAAATACGTATTTTCCGGCGTTGTACAACAACACCTTGTGCCCAAAATGTACACCAGCTAACGCTCGCGCTGGAAAAGCAAGAAAAATGCCGGGCGGAGGAGGCGAGGACGGGCAAACAGGAGCGACGAGAGGGTGACTGGGGGGGAAGAGAGAAAACGAGCGAGCGAGAGAAAAATACGGAGATCAATGAATTCGCGCGAGGATTGATGATACGGATCCTCTCTCGGGTGAGAGATCTTGGGTGCAGAGCAGTACTTCGTCTTTCCACGCGATCCCGCCGAATGAGACAGACGACAGAGGGAGGAGATGAGAGCGTCCCCGTGCATGTGTATACGTAGGCGACTATTCCGAAATTCTGGCTTTTCGACGACACACGCGGGGTGGCCGCAATCGATGCAGAATTTACTGCCGCGACCCGATGAATGGAAGATTCATGTGGCGCTGATGGTAGTGCGCCGGCCCTCCGGGAACTGATTCCATGGTCCCCCCCGGGATTAGAGCCTCACCTACTTTGTCATGAAAGAGGCGGTTGTTAGTTGGCAGGATATAGGGGGGTGGGGGTAAGTCAACGCGACCACTGGGCCTCTCTCTCCTCCTGATGCTGCTTTATGTGGGTCTTGCCCCCGCGAATTTATCGCGATGTGCTCAAAGTGTCGCTGCTCAAAGACACATCATCCTCAACGGTGGTAGTCTATATATACATGCGAATAGTCATTACCATCAGCATTATTAGCCGAGGCGTTAGTGGTATTAAGAGTACGGGGATGGTACATTGTAGCAGCCAACCAGGATTTTAGACTATTGCCTATTGATTTGTAGTCTTTTTCGAGCCGGTAGTGAGGCCCATTTACTACTGGTTACACCCCAAGTCTACGTTTGTGTTTACACGATATTCAATCTGCTAGTCTTGGAAGAAAATAATACTTTATCGCTCGTTCGTTGTCGCGTCGACAATTGAATACCCAAACTACACGTTAATTCATTTTTTGGTAATTTTTTTAAAACAATTATGTTTCAAATGGATCAGATCATCGATTTTTTTACGGAATTTATTTTTCACAAAACGGGCAGTTGATCTACTGAGCCATTGTTGAAAAAATATGTTAACATTAGTTTATTCATTGTGTACATCACTTAGAAAAATCTTTATTGTTTCTTTTATTTTTTTTTTATCGATAGGAAACAAAATCAAAACTCACTGCTGGAACAACTGTTTCGTTATCTTGTGATGTACATCAAAAACTGCCAAAACAAGATTATTCGGGAAAAGTGTTCCAGTGTACTGGTATACTCTTACCTTAGTTGTAAACAACTGCTGCAAGCGAATGAAAACATCATCAAATCTACGTTCTCGAAGAAACATTCGTGCACCAAAAAATGGCTGACTCGTGATTTTCCGCGAACACGCAAGACCATAATATGTACGTTCAATACGTGGCCTGGTAGATTGAGAGTTAAAATTCTTGATTCAAAGAAGGTACAAAACAAAACGAACCAGAAACAATAGCACATGCAGCAGATCGCTTACGACTAACTGCGGAAATGTATGTTGCAAGCACAGCCGCACAAGGGGGTTGCGTATCAAACTTGTCAGTCATGGTACGTTGTATTTATACGTGACGCAGCAAAGAGCGATTGTTTTTTTTCTGAGCTCTATTACGTAGAGTTGTTACTTTGTTTACTGCGCAGAAAACTAAGGATGAGCCACGAGTGATAAAGGGCATCAGGGAGAAGTAATGAAAGCTGCATCTTAGCTGAAAGAGAAGAGAGCGTTAACAGGGGGGGGGGGGGAGGGGCTTCTCATTTTTTATGGTGTTATTCTCCATCTGTATAGAAAATTTCATTTCTGGCAAGGAGTTATCATTTTTTTCAAGTACCTGTACATCAACATTTTAATTTATTAATTTTTGAATTACTATATAATATACAAGTATGTCGTATCGAATAATTATATACAGTCGAGAAAATTTTTTTTTTTACATTTTTAAATAATAATATAAAAAGAGTCAATGCACCCATGTCCTTTTCTTGCGGATAGTGTTGAAAAAAAACAAAAAATATATGAATGGATTTGACTACGTGACCCAAAACTTATTTTTGAATTAATTCATTAAAACTTTATGATACTTGTGTTCAGGGACGACTAAACAATAGCTCAAAATACTTACGGGAAAAAAAACAGAGAAATCTTCCTACTTTTCTTTCGAAGTTCGAGAAAAGTGTAAAAGGGATGACCGAAATAGTTGTAAGTAGTAGGGGGTTCTAGAGGGTTGATGGTAAAATAAAATAAAATTGATCAAAATAAAAAATCACACAAAAAAAGTTTTACTATATTTTGGAACATTTGTCTAAAGTAGTCAATAGTTATTCAAAATATTTTCTAAAACTAATTGTTCCAAAATCAGAGGTATGCAAGAATTTCATCAGAAAAATTGAAAAATCTATTTGACTTATATGTACTCATGTATATTACAGGTGGATGTAGATAACGGTAGAGAGAGAGGGAAGCAGGAAGGAAGGAAAGACTGCTTGAGGACACCTGTCAAGCATTGTAATCTCCCACGTTATTAATTGCTTCGAACACCTCGGATGAAACAATGCATTCAGCTCATTGTCTTGACCTGATGGCTCCTCTATGCACGTATTCGTGAGTTTGTCCATATATTAATACATCAACCCCCAAAAGATAATACATAAAATCATACATTAGTTAAATCACAATGTGACATGTTACACAACCAATGTACATAGCTTGATTTTGGATTCATGCATTGATACACTAAATGTCCGAGGAATGGTATTACCAAAAAGAAAAGAAACCAGCAATTTATGAAACATAGTTTATTTACACCGTAATCTACATCATAAATAATCACAAGGTGTGGTAAAAACGTGGAGAAACAAAACCGTCAGTCTGCTCCGAGCTGACATAGTATTTGTCCTCCATCATGAAAATAGTGAACCTCTACAAAGAAGAAGAAGAAGAAGAATAAATAAAAGTAAAGTCTCATCGTCTGCGATCCCATGTCCTTGGACTTGATGAATATTCACGAGAAGGCAGCACCCTCGTGTGCAGGGTACCCTTGGAAGTGCTGTGGCTGCTCGGGCTGATGGGGATAATGTTGTTGCTGCTCTATGTGGGTCGATGCCTCCGAGTGCAACTGATGGTGGTGGTGATGGTGGGACTCGCCGGCCTCGTGGGCGTAGGTGCCGCTCGAGTGGTCGTTCTTACCGGTCATGTGGACGTCCGCGTGAAAGCCGTCCTTGTCCGCCCGGTAGCTGACCACGCGCACCCGGCCACCCGGCTCCGCTATGCTGTACACGCCGGTCACGCTGCTACCTGCGTGGAATCAAATGCGCGAGTTGCATCGGGAATCCAAAGTTGTTGCTTGTTGCGTGAAAGCGAGATTGGCGGCCGTTAACGAGGGAGGAGGAGGAGGAGGAGGTGAGGATTTTACTTTCTAGATCTAACGAGTGTACAATGGTGGGAGGACGAGTGCTTTGTATTACTGCCTTTGTGGTTGAGTTATTGCGTTCGGCTGTTTGCGTTTCGAGGTGGGGCAGCTGATGCGCGGGCGTTGCCCGATACGCAGTGATACAGCCGATTCTTATCCCCCGCGTACGGGAATTTTAATGCGAGCGGAAATTCAAATCTTATAATTTCGTGCGCTGTTGCTTTTTTTTTTTTTTATTTTTTTTTTTTTTACTAGTATTCTGATGGATAACGCAGTTTTACCGGCGTGATTGATGAGAAAACTAATTATTGCGCGTGAAATGAATTATGGAAGAGGTCCTTCCAGGTGGGCTCTCGTTCCAATCAAGACCGGAAGTTTGTGACTAAAATTTATATCCTTGACCTTAGGATTGTTAAAAAATTTTGACTGCTGGAAGGTTAAAACGTATTGAGTTAATTAATTTCGTGGTTTGTTTGCTATTTTTCTGGTCAATTGACAGTGACATGTTTATGCGTGGTTATACACGTGTGATACAGATTTAAACTTTAGATTTTGTCATTCACTGAGCTAAAGCTTAAATAAACTTTACATCAAGTAGTCGGTAGATAAATATCCTTAATCACAAATTAAAGGATAGTTATGTACTTGTGGCTTTCATTGCGTATTGAAATGTACTGAATTGAAATAATTAAGGTCTTCTATTGATTAAAATTTTCAGCGAAACAGTTTTTAAATAGGCTCTACGTAATGAATGATAAAAATAAGCAAAGCATTTGTTAATAAATCAAGTGTAATTTAGTAAAACTGTGTATTACACGTGTTCTTGGGTATAAATTGGTTATAAGGGCCCTCTGTTTTTCGGTAACATTTCTAAAATTTTAGTTCATCATTAAAAAAAACCTTGTGGGTTAACATAAAAATCATCTTAAATCATAATGAACCCTCCAATATTTAATCAATGGATAAATAACGAGGGAAAGCGAGAAAATAGACATTTTTCGTTTTTAGCATCCAATTTCAGAAGAAATCATAAAAGAGCTCGTTTGTCGTAGCCGAGAATGGAAGTCAAAAAGCGACCAGATAGGACACGCGTAAACACTAAACGGTCGACGCACGTGCGTATGCCAGTTGGCACTTTAACGGCGGCGACCGTGAATACAACTACTCCTAGTTTTTACGTACGAGAAAGCAAGTGCACAATTAGCGGGAGGCTAAGAAAAAAAAAAATAAAAAAAAATAAATGACACCTTGGCAACGACCGTTTAAAGACTTCAGGTGTTCACACGTTGCGTTTACATGATACCATACCATCGCGTATCTCCTTCTGGCTGTGAAAGTCGCCCGTGTGATGATCCTCGACGCCGTACGAGAATTCGTACTTGGGATGAGCCACGTAGTCCATGACGTAACTTGGCTCATGGCTGCGGTGATGGAGCTCGTTGTGCTCGTTGTGGTGGTCATGGTGGTGGTGGTGTGGCTCGATGTATGGGATTTTCACCTCAAACTCCGGGCCCTCGACCGGCCCGTGGAAATGCATGTACGAGTTCGCCACGTGGTGGTGATGATCAAAGTGGTGATGGTGGTCCTCGTGCTCCTCGTGATGGTGTTCTTTGTGCTCCTCGTGGTGGTGATGGTGGTGGGGCTCCCCAACTGATACGAGTCCTGACTGGCTCTTCTGTACCAGTGTGACGAGCAGGATCATTGTGACCGTGTGCCTTATCGTCTGAAATAATGTTTATTATACAACAGAGTTCAAAAAATCCTTTATTAATAATTTTTCATTTGTCCATCTGAAGTTTAAATCCACGTGTTTTATAACAGATCTTTCATTCTAGTCTTAATTTTTTAACTTACTGAACAAATTTTTGTACTTTGGAAAAATATTTTTCTATGCAACAGATTATTGTTGTTTACATTACTGCGTGCTTACTTGATTTATGTTATCAATAAACAAGAAAATAGAAAAATTAACAATGAATTTCATAAAAATAATGTACCTTACGATTTATAAATATTTAAAAAAATTAGTTTTTTTTATTTTTATGACTCATTGAACACTTGGAGGTATTCATCATCGAATTTAATTGATTTTTTAATTTCCCATAACGATACATAATACATTTATCTGTTACTTTTTATTTTAATTAAAGAGTCAGTTCGCACATGCCAATGGTACGGCAACATGTCAAAAAATAATCATGAAAAGACCCCCCTGGAGAGTTTCAATTTCAATTTGTTAAAACATACAACGAAGTGGAAATAATCATTCACTAGAGAAAAAGTTAAATATCGAGTAACCAATTTAATTTGTTGCCTAGCAAAAAGGAGGGCAAACTGCTCGCATTTCCAGATCCACGTTGGGGATCATTTGAACAACGACACGTAAAACAGGCAAGGCCATAATTGCGAGCCAAGCGTACTTCGCCCGCAAGTGAGATTCGATCTGCCCGAGGCTTTTGATTGTATCCTCGAATGAAATGGTTGTTTCGTATTGCAGTGTATGGCATTGTATTTTAGGGAACGTTCGTTATCGACCCTATTTGCAGTACTCAGGCTTTCAAATGTCAAAGATATCAAGTGAACATTTGCTATTCCTTCCGTGGCTGTTTCCACACGATATGTAAATTTTTTTTTTTAACAACATTTTTTTATTTTTTCCTATTAATTAATCATTTAACCCATGTATTTATTAAAAAAAATTATTGATCTAGTTTACAATATACAACGCTTCTTTCCACTCCTGCACAGATAATTCAGAATTATTATTATGTATGGTAAATAAAAAGTAATTGTTTGAAAATTAATGTAAAAAGATGAATGGAAATGTAAAAAAGATAAACTATATTTAAAATAGCCTGAGCCGAAGGCGAAGGACGTAACGAGGCTCGTAAAGGAGACTTTTCGAACGAGTTCCGGAAAACTGCTTTTTCGCCCGAGGAAGTACCAGCCTCCCAAAACCACCCGAGGGCGGAAAACTGTTTTTTCGCCCGAGGAAGTACCAGCCTCCCAAAACCACCCGAGGGCGGAAAATAAATTAACTGCTTTTTATTGCAAGTAAAAATAAACAAAATTTGTAATTTACTACTATTTTCAACAATAAAAATATTTAGATGAACGATCCAACGATTTTTTTATGCTTCATAGTTAAGCTAACAAAACTTTTTTTCCCGTGAGTTTGGGAAACTTTTCACACAGCAATCCCCATCCCCTATTCTAGAGAGATTCACCCCCTGGATCTTGCAGACCTTTTCCTGCATATTGCACGAAATATTTCCGCACTCGTGGAATCGATTGGCATTTGTACTTGTTGGTATTGGTAACTTGGACCACTCGTACGCGTCAATCATAATTTGTGAGGAAATATTTTTTTCACTCTGTGGCGTAAATACCACATCATAAGAAACCAATTGCACGTATGATTTATGTGATCAATGCTAATCAGATAAGACTTTGTAAATATAAAGTAATTTTTTATCTCGAAACTCGTATGTTACAGGTGATAGGGGTAAACGGTACAGTTGTTGACCCCGCGATAGTGATTGACCGCCACATGCTTTTTTAAATGGAGCCTTTATATATAGATATACAAATTATACAGGGGTCAATCACTACCTTAAGGTGTCAATAACTGTACCGTTTACCCCTATGTTATCCAGGTGAAACGTCAAATCATCTTAACCACGGCACTTTTCTAGATCCGTAACAACATTTCATGAATAAACAGTTATGTCAAACACAGTTTGTTTGAACCCAGCAATATCCATTGGTACAACAAAATCGAATCATACTACAGTAAAAAAAGGAAAATTATCGCTAATTGTTTTAAATGGAAAGTTTTAAATGCTTAGACCCATGAGTGTAATTGATGAGAGTGAAACGGGAAATTGTTCCTCATTTTATAAATAGCCTACAGATATGCCTGCTAGTCTCATCCAACTAATCGTAAGATGATTCTACTTTATACGGATGGTACACACGGTAGTGAAAGTGGTACTACTACTACAGACTGTAGATCAAAAGAACAAGTAATTTCTCTGCCTTGTCGAGATAAAAGTTGTTCATTAATTTACACTTGGATCATTTCCTAATATTACACTTCAAAGAATATACAGTTCAAGTGAAAAAGCTTAAGTATAATAAAAATTATAGTGACGGTAATAACTCAAATTTTAAACGTCATCGTCAATACTCTATAGTCCACAGTTCACCACACAAACAACTGATATCCTTGCAATAATTTGTAAAAACAACCAAATCCAAGTGCACGAGCAAAGATATTTAAAGAAAATTATTATATTAAAAAAAAACTCGCACTTTCCTCTCGTTCGACTAAATTAAAAAAAAAAAACTCGCCACACGGTATACCTTGGCTGTCATCTTTCGAACGGAACAACTGACGGGGGCTGAGCAACGGCAACTGCAGCCACCAAAGCGGTTCCTCTATCCTTTTATACGGATAGACCCTCGGATAGACCAGTCACGTGCACACGCGTTTTCCGCATACGCGTGAAATCCATCTTCACCGGGTGCTGGCGAGAGAGGGGAGAGCACCGCCTCCCGCTCGTCGGGACCCTTTTACTTTTTTTCACCCAATTGCAAATAACACTCTTCTTCCTTCCGAGTCTTGCCGATTTTATGCATCCTCTCCGCGAGCGATTACGCGTTTTACAATCGAAAGCTCGCCGTCGGGGCAGCTCCGTGACTTTCATTCAGCCGAGGATGTACACGTGTGTAAATGTCGGTACGACTGGTTTTCATGGAAATTGCCGCTGGCCGGTCTCTCCGTTAATTAGAAACGAGAGCCAACAAGTATAGGCGTTGGAGAGCGAAGCGGCTTGTCCGATTGCCACGATAAATCAATTTGAGTGTATCACTTGTTCGTGCGCAAGTAGGTTTTGGTCCAACCGAAGTGGGTCGGGTTCGCAAGTTTCCCTCGTTTTTACAAAAAATTCGGGGCAACGAGGTCAATTTCCGAGTTTTTTAGTTATGGTCTCGTTGGTGCTCACCAAGTGTACCCCAAATTTCAAGGTGTACAATTACAATGGAACTGAGGGGGAATCTCATCGTTGCCAGAGTGGGAAAGGGGAAAGTGTTGAATATTTTATTACCATGAATGTCTAACTCCACCGTTATTCTGATAAAGTTCATAACGATGCTACTGTCATTTTCTCATAAGATAAAAACCAATGTTGTCTCGTAAGGGCTTACAATGAGTCTCAAAATGTCTCCGAAAAAACGAGAATCACGAGTTGTATTATTTTTTTAAGTAAACGTTTTAAACGGAGGTTGAGCGTGAAATTACCTCTCTTTGGAGATCAAACATCAGAACTAGATTTTTCCGGCTCTTTTGTTTGAGCTGCAGTAATGGGACTTCATGCAAACTACAAGAGGGAGCAGGGCGCTTCGTCTCTTTGGAATTAAAAACAAACTTGCGACCGGAAAGAATACCTATCCTTATCATTTGTGATGTCTAGCAAAGAAGAATTTACTATCTGGGTTCAAGTAACTGGATAAAAAAATTAGACTATTACATTATTTTAAATCTGTTAGACCTAATGTTACACATTTTTTGTACTGACTGTAAAGGTCTACAAAGTAGCATACAACGTTTTGACAATTTTATTTTAACAGCTACAAGGACTTTTGAAAAGGTTGTGTCAAAGTTCCATAGAAACGTTTTATAAATATTGAAACTGTCCGCTGATTTTTGTGACTACAAATTACCTCTCAAATCCTAACAGATTAATTAGCACGTGTTTATGTTGCCGATTGCTGGCGATCACTGTACAAATTACATCCATCGCGAGGAACTATACTATTTCACAATAATCTTACAAATATTCAAACGAATACAGAAAAATAATGCGCTACCAAAGTTATAACATTTTTGTAAGGTACCAAAAACCTACAGTTAAGGTATGTTGTCCAGACGATTATCTAAAGGGAGTCCTACTATTAACCTGGAAAGTAACACATAAAAAATTTAGAAATAGACACAAAAAAATCACGCAGTGAAACAATTTAATATTTTAAAAATTTTTCGAGGATTTCATGAAAAATGATCCAAAAATAATGTTTTTTATTATGAAATTAGGACGTATAAGATTTACATTTGGTAAAGGAATAATAAGCTGTTCCTACAAGAATAAATTTTATTCTGCAGTAATTTTATGATTCCCTCATGTAATACCGTATACTTTTCAAGTCGTGGAAAATATGTTTTTTAAAAGTATCTCCCGTTTGTTGTTTGCCAAATTTTTAGAAAAAAAAAATTTTTTTTCTTTGGACAGGAAAAAAAAACAAGAACAAAAAGTTGTGAAATAGGATGTGAATAAAAAAAAATGTAACATGAGACCGGCAGCCAAGCAGACATAAAAATTGGAGCGCGTATTGTTTCTCCAACTACGCGCCAGCTTATTTTCCTCCTTCCAGCCCCTGCTCAAAAAGTTCGAAACTCTGTAGCAAATAAATACTGCCAGTGCAAGCGCACGTGTGTCCATCCACCTAATCCGGAAAATAAAATCCTGAGCTTTACTTCCTTCCTCTGCCACGACAGCGCGTTATGTAGACGACACGAAGCTAGGCATGTACGGATCTTTTGCCTCTTTTTTCTTCCCTTTCTTTTTTTTTTTTTTTTTTCCCCGACGTGCCACGAATAGCGAATATTGCGCGCGATTGAAAATCAAGTTGGCCCGCGCTCGTAGGTGGAGTTTCAAATGGACGCATGTATACATTTGCTAGCGAAACAATCGATTGCCAGTCGGTTGATAAAGGTATTCGATTCTTCTTCCTATGTTACATGCATGGAAGTGATGGGTCTCGCTTTATTTCCTCTTTGAAAAAACGTTTTTACATCCATGCATGCATGTATATACGTATGCGCGCTCACGTGCTCGTAAACGGAAGTGTTTTTTTCCTCAACCGAACGGCATATAATAGTAAAAGTGTGTTATGGTGGGTTTCGGTAATTCTGGCACGCGAGTCAGCTTGAGCGCGCACATCGTGTATCACGTATGGATCGCACTCCATTTCCACTTGTTTATGCCGAGTGCGAACCATCATTAATGAAGAATGTAAAAGCAGGCTATTATATTTGATACTAACTAGGTGAAAGTTTTTTGAATAAAGAGCTAGTTTTGATGATGCAATTCATTAGTATTTTTGTATAACAAGTACCATCTCTGTCTCTGCAATCAGACATTGGTTCGGATTGATTGGAATATCACGGATTGAAGCATTGGTGACACAGCAATATAGCGATTCATATAGTTGGATGATGTTAGAAGATCTGATACAATAACTGTTTTGTCGAAAAAAATTTGAATATTTGTATTTTGCTAAGAAACCCATCGAAAAACTACAAGACAAACTTCAATCGTATAAACTGCTCCAAATTTAGCTATACGAACACAATAATTTATCACTAATGTCAACGTGGTGAGAAAAAGAACTTTGTTTTACAATCTATTAATCTAGATTTTTCATAAATTCATCATAGTTGTTTATAATTCGTCAGAGCTTACATTTTCTTATTGGGAGTTGATGTTATTACTTATACCCAACTATTTATCCTTTATAAGATAAGTAATTAAAACTAATTCATACTCAATTAACATCGAAAAAAGTGTAATTGGACCTTTTTACATTTTAAAAACAAATTTAACATAACTCTATTGGTAACAAACATATAATCCTTCTATTGAATTTTACCTTTTTGGATTGATGACATAAAACAATTTTTTTGTGACAAAAATGTTTATAATAAGTTACAGAGGAAGGCAGTATTATTACGTTGCCCTTCACACTCTTTTTTATGTATTTATTTCAAATAAAAAGATTTAGATTTCCAGTGTACGAGGGGTAATGAGATTACAAGCTGATGTGCCAATCTATAACTTGTCTTACCTTACTTGTCTGTTTCTACTTTATTTTGAATACCAGAAATAGGACCCTATAAGAAGGTTTCCCTTACGGTGAATAAAAATTAAAACTAAAAATGAAAAAAAAATTAAATATATGAATAAAACTGACAGTATACGGGGGGTAATGAGATTACAAGCTGATGTGCCCATCTATAGCTTGTCTTACCTTACTTGTCTGTTTCTACTTCATTTCGAAAACAATGAAATACTAGGTTAAGACCCTACATGGACGGTTTTTCCTTACGGTGAATAAAAATTAAAACTAAAAATAAAAACATTTAAATTATATAAACAAAACTGAATAAATTGGCTTATATTTATAAACCTTAACATAGACAATAATTATTTATCGTATGCATGATTGATAAAAGTGGAGATACAAATAGTGTATTTTTTGTAAGAGCTGTTATGAACTTTACTTATTA